GTTGTGGTACTGTGAGCTTCCAAGTGGAGTCTGGAGCCATGGTGGGCTTTCCTGTGCTTCATTCAGGTTGGGGTGACATGATTGGGAAGTGCTGTGGACTTTTTAACCAAGTGTTTTTCTCTTAACCATGTGTCACAGAGCACTAAAGTAGGAAAAAATACTGTCTTGTGCTCTTAGAGACTGTGACTTTAATCATTGGTTTATTTTGGAGGAAACGGGGTATGGTACAGCGCTCTGGAAGGGTACAGTGCTCTCATCTGGTTGTCATAACTGGAGGAAAATTTGTCAAGTAATAAGACTGAGAGCTTGTAACATCCCTGCTTTCTATCTAGTGAAGTGTGCAATTGCAGTTAATTTAGCGGAGATGTCATCTGAAGGAGGAGCTGTTGTTCCTGCTTCTGTAGTTTTAATCTTTGTGCTGGTACAAGACACCGTATCACTTTTCTGCACCAATTAATGGCCCCATCTATGTGGAAGGGACTGCCTGGTTCAGAAGGACGTTTGAGGATTACACCTGAAAGCCCCACAGGAAAGGTTTGTGGTGTTCTGAAGATGGCAGGAGACCTCTAAAAATGTGATTGGGAGCCCTGAACCTCCTGACATTTGCTGTCGTGGTCCAGCGCTGTCTGCGCATGGGGCTGGCCTGAGCTTGTGATGCTGGTAAGATCCTGGCAGATGCAAAGATGTCACTGTTCACAGCAGATGATGTATCATGGGCTGAGGCAACCTGCATTTCTGAAGAGATGAATAAGGGGAGAGCTCTTAAGACCTCATCTGCAGTGTTTTGAAAGAATTAGCCTTTAGCACGTGTGCTGGATGAAGGCTAAAGCAATGCAGTGAAGGCTTGAAAAATGTCGAGTCCAGTTGTTGTAGCTATGTAATAAAGGTAACAGTATCTAGCTGTTTATTGCTTCCTATCTCAAGCTCTTCAAAAGAATAACAAGCAGGATATCTGCAGACCTTTGGAGGAGTAGGACTGGTAGCTGTGTGGTGTTAAAAATAAAATTGTGGAATATCTAAATATGTAATTTAGGCTATGGAAAGCAAACCTTTTGGGAAAAATATAGTTATGTCTGGGCGTAGCCAGGCAAGTCCAGCCTCTGGAAAAAGAGAGTTGGAAGCAGACCACAGGCTTGCAGGCTAGCTTTAAGACCTTGGCTGGGCGTAGCAGGAGCCTGGGAGAGGTGCAGGTGTGGGGAGGCACATCTAACATGTAACACAGGAAAACTTGGTGGAACTCACTGTTGTAGTAGCTGAATACCTCTCTCCATCTCATTCAGCAAAACACCTCTGAGTAAGAGTAGTGCTTTTATCAGCTTCAGTTTCCCCTCTGTAAAATGAAGACGACGAAACCGAGCTCATCTCCAGCTGGGAATTTAAGCTGCAGGTGACCTGTAGGTTGATGGCATGATGGATGTTGAAGTTTTCTCCGTGGACAAATGGTCTGACTACCTGTAAAATAAAATTGACTGGCTTATCTATTGGCAAGGACTAGCATGGCCGTACCGTGTCTAGGGAAGGTGAGCTGTATGCCTGTGCTAGCAGCTGAGGTGAAAGTGAGATGAGATGTGTAAATATTGCTGAATCGTATTTTCCCCATAACTCTTGCTTGTGGACTAAATGCCCGGTTGTTTGTGGGGTGGGACAGGGAGGCCAGCGAGCCGTCCCATTCTGGTGTGAATCACCATCAGAGCTGAAGCTCCTGGCCTCTGGCCAGCTCCCCTTCTTGGCAGGTGCAGAGCTGCTGAGCTTTGCCCAAGAAGGAAGATGAGCGTCATCATAGCTTAGATAAGATAAAGCGTGACCAAATCCTTGTTACCCTTGGCAGGTGTGGGTAGATGCTGTCTGGGACTTGTGCAGCTCCAAGGAATAGCCAGGTATTGCATCTGTGGGAAGGGTTGCAAAGCTTCTTTAAAATGTGGAGACTTGATGCTGGAGACCAAAAGGGAAGGTGGGTGCACCCCAAGGGATGGTGACAGCAAAGGCTTGAGGGATGTGAGTGAAGGAACAGCCACGCAGTAACCCTGTGGGCAGAAAGACTTCTGCTGTGTTTTCCTGTGTCTGTGTCCTGCTGTGGACTCTGGGGTTGATGTCACTCCATGACCAGCTCCGTCAGCTCAGGGCTGTGCGGGTACCCTGGTGTCTAGCAGGGCTGAGGACCTCCTCAGCAGCAGTGCTGCCAGAGCATCTCTCTTCACCTATCAGGTTTTTGAAGTTCAAAGGTGTCTGTTGTCCTGAACTGTGCCCTTCTATCTGACATCACGGGAACTAGGAAAAGAATTCAGATTTATTGGAGAGGAAAAATGACGCATGTGGATGCCCTCACAAATGTACACATTTCTTCCATTGCACACTTTGCTCCTGTGCTTGAGAGCTGCCTTCCTTCCTCCTTATCCTCTTTGCCTCTTAAACAAGTTTGCAAGATCTCTGCTCTACCTTTCCTCTCTCCCAGACACATAGCCAGAGGAGTAATCCTCTGCTCCAGTACAGATGCACAAACCCCTTTGATTTAATGCGTTTCCTATGGCACAAAAAGAGACTTTTGCTTCCCATGCAAATCTGGTTGCTCAGTCAAAGCTGCTAAATGCAAATGGACCACTTGTAGCTCTTCTCTCTGGGAAGAGTGGTGTGGGCTTTATGTAAAGCATGAAGATAAGACCTCAGGAGCTTGAAGAGCAGAGCAGTACGCAGATTTGTGCTGGAGAGAGGTCAGCATGGTTGTAGTTCATTCACAACCTGTTTCCGGACTTGTGAGGTGAGATACTAGGCAGGGGGATATTTCAGGCTGTTAGTATCAAAGAAACAAGTGTTTATAGAAATGGATTAACAGTTACTAGTTATGGGTGTGGTGGGGTTGGTCAGTTGTTCTCTCCCCTCTCTCCTTACCACTTCTCTGCTGCATCCAAATGCAGAATCAGCGCCGAATGTGATTTGGTGACTCAACCCGTTCTGATGCCTGAGTCCCTTTCCTCTATTCAGGTTGGGCAAATAACATTCGGTCTGTAATCATGCTTGAGAGCTCTTGCTATTGCCCTTGATATGGGGAGCTGTAATGATGCTTAGATTGGCTTAATCCAATTCAATCTGAAAATCCACTTCTCTGAACAATAAATGTTGCGTGTAGGGGGTGGTATTCAGGTGTTTTTACTAAATCAAAACCCTTTTTGGCATTAGTGGATGAAGCCTTTTTCTTTTCAACATGTACCACTAAATACACAGGATGTGCAGTATGGTTGATTTAGCATTACTATGGGAACCGTAACTTTTTGCATTTCCTGACCTTTATCCATGTAATGCTAAGGATTCATTAATGTGGCTCCAAAATGCTGTTTATTTTTTTGTGTTCGATAAGCTTTTTTGTTCTGGTTAGTACTAAGAGCAGTTTTATAAAGGACCCCAGGAGGAGGTTAGAGACAGAACAGGCTGCGAGGTTCAGAAGAGCAGTTTGCTCCCTTTTTTGTGCTGTTCTAGCAGCATCCCAGCCGAGACAATGGTTCATGTGTGTTAGCATCACCTCTGCAGCAACAGTAAACAAAATGGTGAGTAAACTCTCCTGCTCAGAGGTAGGTAACTCACTTGGTCTGGGTTTGTTTGTGTTTATTTGCCTCAGCTGCACAGCCAGAGCCTGCCTCAAAGGATGTGTAGTTCTGGGGCTGGGGCAAAGCTGAGCCTGTGAGGAGTGGGGAGGTGATCGTCCTGGTCTGAGAGGAGCAAAGCTACCCTCCAGCAGCACAGAGCCCTCCCAGACGGCTCAGAGGAGCTTGCTGGCTCCGTTAAACCTGTATTAAAGACAAGCGTGATGGTTTGTAGTAGTCTTCATGCCCATTTTTTAGTCTGGGGTTTGAAATAACCATCTTAAAATACATGGGGAAGGACCCGCCTTTAGCTTTGCTTTCTGCAGGTCCCATCATCACTTGCTGCTGGGAGGATGGGGCTATTTGTAGCTCCTCTGCAGGTTGATGAGGTCTCCATTGTTCAGATACCAGCTGGAGTCTTAGTGGGAATCAGTGGAAGAGTGGTTTTTGGGCTCTGTAGAGGCTAAGCTTGCCTGCTCATGACTTGTATGGCAAAGCTTATTTGCTGGGCAAATACTGTCCTTGAGGGCTGACGTGAAGAGGCATTTGGGGTGGGGGTGAGCAAAGGGGACAAAACCATACCAGGTGACAAAGAGCCAGCCTCCCAGGGTCTCAACATTCTCTTTTTTTCTTTTCTTTGTCAGCTTCCAAGAAGTTGTCAGGCCTAACTAGTGGGAGCTGACACAGCTGAGGGCAACTTCATGCTGCCTGGAAGCCCTGGAGCTGCCACTGAGTCACAAATCCCCATCAGCATCCCCAGCTGTCAGTGGGCAGGGGTGGCTTTGCTTCCTTTTGGTGGCACTGTGGGATAGAGGGGTACTTTGGTCAGTGGCAAGATAGAGGGTGGCATCTCTGGCTGCTTTAGTGAGAAGGTCCTGGGGTGTGCACCCCACCCCTGGGGTGTGTTTTATGGTTCCAAAGAAAGATGCTCCTTGCAGTGTCATCTTGTGGTTTACCTTTCTTTTTTCCTAAGGTCTCTGCGCTTCTCTTTGTGAAACAGGTTGCCGGCTATGTAAAAGTGGAATTAAACTTGAGGTAGGATTCACAAGGGTAGTTTCCAGTCCTGCCCTTGTTGAAATCAGATGTGAGGTAGGCAGCGAGCTACCTACAAGCACAGCTAGAGTTTCTCAGGGAAGTTAAGTTTATCATGGGACAAGGGATCACCTGCTTTCTTACCACTTCTTCCCCTCTTGCCTAAGGCAGCTCAGAAACAAGCCCTTCTCCTTCACAGCTGTGCATGAGGCAGGATTACAAGGAATTTACCTTGGGAGATTAATGGCAGGTTTTCTTGTGCTGCTTTCTGAACCGATGGCTACTGGCCTGTTGGAAAGGGGATGAGATGCATCGGGAGCGTTGCAAACCACACCTCCTAGCTTGGACCTGCTCTGATACTCTATTTACAGTGGCGGTGTTTGTTCTCCGCAAGCTCTTTGCTGTGGAATATACTGCCGGTTCCAGGGAAGGGGAGCGATACTGTCCTGACACTTGAGGTATTTGGGGACACCTGCAGAGAGAGAAAACGAGGTTGTGTAATGGGGTGGAGGGGAGGGAAGAAAGTCTGTCTCTTTTGGGCAAGGAATTATTTGAGTAGAAGGAAGTCTGAACGAGCTTATGAGTTGCTGTGTCTCAGCAGAGTTTCTTCCTAGGAACTTTCTGTTCTGACTTCCTGCTTTTGCTTTAAAGCAGCAGAGTAGAAATGGGACAGAGACTTGTGGAGTGCAGTGGCATTGTATACCACTGCAGAAAACGGTTGTTATTCCCCTGACGGAAGAGGGAAAATTTATTGATTGGTTTTCAAGAGCTGGAGGTGCTTAATTAGCAGATGGTTAATGCTTCAGTTTGGGTCGTTAAACTGAAGAAACTTGCTCTCGGTTCTGATGTGGTTCTGCAGGTCGCTTAACTCATTCTAGTAACTCGTTGATTTGGGAAACTGCTGATTTAGAGTAATAGCTGCAATGGTTACATTTTCAAAAGTAAAGGGGAAAAAGTACATGCTTAAAATATGTGGGATTGTGATGTTTTCTTATGAAATGGATGTCTTAAGCTGGTTAGATTAAAAACTAAGGATTTTCTGCTGCATTCTTTGTGAAGACTTACTTAGAAATTTTCCTTTAAAAACATTTGTCAGGAAATTTTCCACTCTCTCTCATAAGCATACCTATCCCTCCCTGATTTTCTGTAATCCTACAGCAGTGTTGCTGCTGTGAGCTTCTGACTCAGTGACAGCTTTTGTCAAAGAGGGGAATATTTCCCCCCCAGTAATTTCACCTTTCCCAGAACAGTCGTACAAGTTGAACAAAAGCACCTCTCAGACAGCATCTGCTTCCAAGTTTGCTTTAAACACTGTTCCTTATGTTGATTGCTCCTCGCACTAAGCTGTGCCTGGTATGCAGGGAACATGTGCCCTTCAGCTGCACATGTTATCCCACTTTGTGGAGGAGCAGCTCAGGGCTTGTGGCTGCTCAAAACATTCTTTGGTTTTCTGTCTTGGCTTCTGAGGCTTTTAGTATTTTGTTGTGATTGTCCCCTCTGAATGAGAAAGGGAGAGGATATTTCTGATATCTTGAATGAGATCCTGGAATTCTTGGATATTCAGACTGGTCCTCTGTTATTTAAGGGGAGGAAGTGTCAACCCTCTGGATCCAAGTCTTCACCTGTGGCCCCCTCAATGGTCTGGTAGACAAGAGGTGTCTTTACTGAGCGTATGGATTTCATCCTTCTCCAGTGCACAGATTACACTGGCTTTTCAGGAAAGGTGTTTTTCATAGCACAGCCAGCACCTCCTTAGCTCACAAGAAGGGGTGAATCTTTATACTCATTGTTAGGGTGGATCCTTAGCTGAGAGGTAACCAAGTGTCACGCACCTGTGCCTATGGCCATTTTCATCTCTGTGAGGCAGAGAATGGGTTAACCGTCTTCTTGGAAATGGGCTTCACCCAGCTGCCTCAGCTCTGTTTGTTGTTTTAATAGCATTTGCAGAAAGGTCAAACTGTCCATGGGTCCCATACACTGCTCCTGGGCGAAACCAATACATCACCAGCCAGGGAGAGGCTTCTCCAGAGAGTTGTGGTGCCTAGAAATTCTCTCCATACTCATTCCTACTTGTTTTTTGAAACAGTCTTCACAAACCATTTTTGTCCTTTAAGTGCATCTTTCAGATTCAGAGTAACGAGGTAAAGCTTCTCCCCCTGCTCCCAGAAAAGGTTATGGGGGTGAGATCACTGTGTCCAGTTCTCAAGAGACTGGAGGTGAATTTCCTGGAATGAGGAAAAGATGGTTGAACTTCATGCATCCCCCCTGCAGTTGTAGCCCTCTGGATAAGGAGGTTTCAAGTGCTGCAGAGAACTTGCTGGCTCAGCTGGAGAAGAAATCGTTTTCTATCACATGTATTCAGTAAGCAGTGTGAGTGGGTGCTTTACCAAAAAGAAGTTTCTTCTTTGAAAGGGGATTGGGTGGTCTGATGTTCTGGTTTGATATTTTATCTATGCGTGTGTGTGGTGGCGGAGCTATTTGAGGACAACATAAGGCTATGAATTTTTGTTTGTATGAGGTCAATTTCAATGAAGCAGTGACAGAACAAGATTGGGAGCCAACTAGAGGCAGGAGTCAACACCTTTCTTGTTCAGCATGCCAAGGTTGTGTGGCAGAAAGATCATCCTCCACAAAGCTAATACCAGTTGTTTCCCTCTCTTACAACAGAGGTGAGAACTAGTGAAAGGATGCCTAGAGACAGTGACTCCGCTGGATGAGTGTGCATAGGTAACAGCAGCCCAGGAGGGTTCCTGCTGAGGTCAGACAATGTGCCTGGCTGTCATAGAGAGATTCAGCTTCTTGTTGGAAAGGAAAATCTTTGTTCTGGTATTACATAGACGGTTAGAATCTGAGGACTTAAAGGGAGGTCTGAGTTGAGTTCAGCACCCAAGTTATGGGTCTGATGGCAGTGATAGTCGTGGGAAGAAGCCTGACCTTTGGCTGTTGGAGTAGCAAGTCCAGTTCGTAGGACTGTCCTTGATGAAAATGCAACAAATGCTGTGGTCCTTTTCGTAGAAGACTCTGTGTACTTTGAGGGTGGTCCCTGCTGATGAGAAATCAGCCTCTATTCATGCTGAGGAAGGGCCAGGCTGAACCAGCACTGTGTCTCCAACAGCAGCTACCCTCGTCTTCCCAGCATAAATGTGTAATGATACTTTCCTAGTACACTCTTTTGGATGTTTGTGGCTCAGAAAATTTTCACCAAAACAGATATTTTGTGTAATAGTCCTTTATGGACAAACTCAGGGAAGAAAAAAACAGCCACTTCTGCAGCCCATGAATACCTGTGACATCCTCAGCACCCCGTGTCAGCGAGTCCCATGCTTTAATGGTTTGCAGAGAAGTGCTTCCTCCTGTTTGATGTGCAACTGCCACCATCCAGTTTTATCTGAGACTTCTGGATTCTTTTCTTAAAGACGTCAGTGACTGGGGACAATTCTTCACTGTCTCTGCCATTCGTGAATTGGTTACACGGGCAACTCCACAAAAAACAAATTTTTGCATTTGAAGTTTTGTATATCCATTAGAACCTTTTATCCACTTATTCAATAACTGGCTGTTTCTGCATAATATAATTTTGCGTTGAAGTACTTCAAGGACACTGACAGAGTGTGTCTAGCTCTCCACCAGCACAGGACTGAGGCATGCCTCCTTTCAGTGTTAATTTTCTCTGCAGAACACCGAGCGTGGTTGCATTCCTGAGGGCAGGGGAAGAGCCTTGTGTACAGGTGGCTCTGCTGCTCTCAGGGTGTGAAAGGAGTCTCCACAGCAGCATTTCTGCTTAGCTGCAGCAGCCAAGGTGGTGCTCGTCATGTGTCGAGTGTTCCTGGATGACATTTTAGCTGTTCAATAACTAGTGGTACAAGCCCAGAAGTGCGCTGACTTCTGGTTGTTGTCTCTGGTATAACCTGCTCTGCATGCAAGTGCTCCCTTTGCTAAAGGGGCTGGTAAGGCAGGAGGAAATTGCCAGCAATGTTCAATTAAACAAGCTGAGGAGCTGCCCTGGATTTATGTAATTTCCTCTAAAGACTATTTGAAGAGCTTTGAATGCCAGCTTAGATCTGGAGCTTGTCTTCCTTATGGGGTGTTCCTGCCTGCCGCACCAGCCCTTGGAAAAGACGAATAGAAGAGAGCAGGGATCTCCTTTGCCTGGGCTCCCAGTGCTCAGTGTTCACTTTCAATCAAAAATGATCCAGTGTGTCTGATGTCAAGTGCCAAGTCCTCTGTCTTCTCCTTTTCCCGCATCGGGGCTGGCAAAAGAAGTTTGTTTGCTTCCTGACTACCTGCCTTGCCAGTAGGTATCACCAGCAGAGCAGAGCATTTGCTCTGCGGGCAACATGCTTGGTGTTACTGATTGCTGAACTCAAAGCAGCATGTACCTTCCACTTCACAACACTGTGTTCAGCTAACATGAATAAAGGCTGTATTATCTCTTCACGGCTAAAATATCCTGTCTTCCTCTATTTTCTTGAGCTGATTGCCTGTGTCCTCTAACAACCGCATATTTGTGGTAGAACATTAACAGGAGTGGCATCAACGGGAAACTTGATACTGCTCAGAGGCTTTTCTACTTGACTAAGTGAATGATATTTACTTATTTACTTACTGCTGGCTAACCATGTCCTTTGTGGATGTGCAGCATGATCTCCAGCCTATGGAAATACAATGAATTCTTCTTTTTGAAGCCAAAGAGTACAATAGGGTACAATCAACAAAAAGTTGATCTGCTGGAGGGTAGGAAGGCTCTTCAGAGGGACAGGCTGGATCGATGGGCCAAGGCTGATTGTATGAGATTCAACAAGGCCAAGTGCTGTGTCCTGCACTTGGGCCACAACAACCCCATGCAATGCTACAGGCTTGGAGAGGAGTGGCTGGAAAGCTGCCCAGTGGAAAAGGACCTGTGCCAGCAGTGTGCCCAGGTGGCCAAGAAGGCCAATAACATCCTGGCTTGCATCAGAAATAGTGTGGCCAGCAGGACTAGGGAAGTGATCATCCCCTTGTACTTAGCACTGGTGAGGCTGCACCTTGAATACTGTGTTGAGTTTTGGGCCCCTCACTACAAGAAAGATGGAGCAAGAAAGGTGCTGGAGCATGTGCAAAGAAGGGCAACGAAGCTGGTGAAGGGCCTAGAGCACAAGTCTTATGAGGAGCAGCTGAGGGAACTGGGGTTGTTTAGCCTGGAGAAGAGGAGGCTCAGGGGAGACCTTATTGCTCTCTACAACTACCTGAAAGGAGGGTGTAGCGACGTGGGTGTCAGTCTCTTCTCCCAAGTAACAAGTAACAGGACAAGAGGAAATGGCCTCAAGTTGCACCAGGGGAGATTTAGTTTGGATATTAGGAAAAACTTCTTTACTGAAAGGGCAGTCAGGCACTGGAACAGGCTGCCAGGGAAGTGGTTGAGTTCCCATCCCTGGAGGTATTTAAAAGATATGTAGATGTGGTGCTTAGGAACATGGTT